GGCTTTTAATTATGTTTAAGTTACTACAACTTAGTTGGAGCGTGACAATAGTTCGGCAAGGAGAATCGATATCTTAGTTAACGAACAATGAATAGCCGATAACGGATCGAATGTCCAACAGTATTATTCTTTTTTTTTTTCAATTTGTTCCCATTGCTATGTACTGATTATCGTGATATTTCCTCGCGACGTACCACTCTGTTTCTACGTTATTAACCCTCTTCTTTTGCCACATCCTCGTTTGAAGCCGACCAAGTACCGTCGAGTGTCGTCTTCTAATGGTGGTATACTCGACCACCGGCAATCTTAACACGCGGATGAGTTGTACAGAGAGAGAGAGAAAAAAAGAAATATGTTGCCGTGCAACGCTACTGGTATCCACCATGTTTATCATGCATCAGGCATTCTTATCAGCCTTTTGTTAATTTTGGTTAATCTCGTGTACTTTCGGTTAATCTCGTTTCTGATAATAAAAGGGTGAGGTTTCTGGCTTCGAGTTATATCATTTTGAAAGGGATCATTTGAAAGCCAAAAACAATTGATTCTTACAATTTTGCATTCAAATTTTTCGAGAGAGATTCTTAGATATTAAAATTTTTAACTCTTTGGACCTTTAAGTCTTCGAATTTATGAGTAATTAAATCATTCAATTAACGAAGTGCAAAGATGATTTCTCAGTAATATGTTAAATTTTATAAAAGAAAGATTTTATCACGTTTCTCACTTTGTGATCTTTAATTTTATAGGATATTTCGAAATACATAGATAGATAGTGCCATTGTACAGTAAATCTTAGACAATAGTCATCAGATATTTAACTGGCTGCATGTGCAATAAAAAAGATTAGAGTGAATTTACCTTCGTCTACGTCGCACACGGTGTTATTTTCATTTCAATTTAAGAGTTTTAAACGATGGATGATTTTACTGAAATATTTCAAAGAATTCGAATTCTAAATGTAACAGTAAAACGATACGTAATGCGTAATTTTAACTGCCTCCTCTTCTTATTAACAGAGGTACTATATATGCACCGCACAAAGTGTGGTAAGGGCCATAAGTCAACTATACAATTAATCACGTGGTCGTATGTTTCCAAGAAATGTCCTTCGAGTTATGGAACAAATGTCAGCCATCGTTACAAATTAAAATAAGGAATCTCACTGAGATACTTTTGTTTACTGAATTCTACTCATGTCAGTAATCATGGTTAATATCCGGAAGACTTGTCATCCTTCATAAATTGTCACTACCAATCGTCATTTTACCAACATCAATAAAAAATTCGAATTTTAATATTTTTTAATTACCGTTTCAACTATCTTCAGAAATAAATTTTTTAATTCAATTAATTTCTTTTATATATATATAATAAATCTTGAACTTTTGTAACAAAAGCTGTCAACGTGACTTTATTTAATCCAATTTTCATCACCGGACACGAAAAGTTGAGAAGAATGAAATCGAAACTTCGCACTTCAAAATTTTCTACCGAAGTTCATTCCTTATATATAGGTTGCTTATTTTCTCCATTAAAACGTAATTCATATCCGACGTCAAAGTCCAATCAGAGCGACAAAATACGAAGGAGCAGCTCCTCTCTCATCTCTCTCGTGCTTTTTCTCGTAAATGCTAAACATATAAATCGATTGGCCGCGTTTCAACCGTGGAATAAATATTGTTCGGTGGTTTATATTGCACGTCGTTTAAGCCTTTCGACTACGAAACGCATCCTCATCGAAAATAGAATCACGTATATGTACAGAGGCGTGAGTGCACCGTGCGCGTTACGTAAGCGATGCACGTGTACAACGAATGTCGATACGGGGGGAAACGATCAAAATCTTAGCGTATACTTGTTTTGGCAAGATACAATAATTTCTTGGATCACTCAAAAATACGAGCTTGTCAGCGCGAATTCAATGTTCTGTTATGTTCAACATTGAGACTTTTTGTTTAGAAAACAATTTCCGTTTTTAATTTTTTATCAGATTTTCAAGCTCCCTGGCATTATGTTTATGTATCAACTTCATCACTGAAAATAGTAAATAATTATTAAAACTTGACAACATTGATTATATATAAGAAGAAAGAATAAAAAGAAATTGTTAATTTTCATATTCTACATATATGGCATACCACCTCTGTCCATTATTTATATCTTTATATCTTCTTGTCATGAATAAATTTATGGAAATAAGTCATTCGTTTCTTGAGAATTGAATATTAATCATCTACGTGTGTAATGGAATTGAAAAATTAATAAAAAGTGGTATTGACCAATTTAGTTTCTGAGAGGCTCGACAACCTCTATATGACAAACGCAATTTGAAATTCACCTTCTGAAATTTTATTATGAAATTTCGCTTGCTTCTAGAACGAAAAGCGATTTATCCTTCCACGAGAGTACTGTGAAATATATATATATACATATATATTTTTTTACATTTTACGTGTTCAAAGAGTACTCTTTAAAACATATTCCCTCGACGTCGCAACCAATTTCGCCATATTTTCACCCGGTTCCCCGGAATTAATAGCGGCGGTACTTGCACACGGCTTTTATTAAATAATTTTTTTTACGAGATACAGAGGCTCGTCGAGTGATGCAATTTATCGTCGTGCTCTGTATATTACTAGCCAACGTATAGCGATTAAAATATGTCACGCGAGATTACATGCTCCTGCGTGCTCATCTATGTGCTTCCCTGTTCTCGTACGCATTACACTAGAAGATATCTTCATCTTGTCACGTTTATCTTAGCTCCTTTCTCATTTTCATAACATTCTCCATCCGCTGCACTGATAATTGGTTGTCAAGAAATATAAAAAGAAAAAGGGCGCCGATAAATGGACACATTAGATTTAAAAATGATCCGTGTATAAATGCACGAATTGCGATAATTTGAAGATAGTTCCCCCCCTTTTATCAGTATATTCGTGATATAACTTTTATTTTTTATTTTTTTTACGTCAGTCGACGTTAATATCTGGCTGGAATATATTAACAGCATTTATAAGTTTATAAACAAACTCGATCATATACATTACCGTTATCACGATCTCGTGACGATCGGAAAAACGTGTGGAAGTAAATGCCTCTGAGCAATTTCAATGTCGCGTAACTATGATATTATAACAGCTCTGTGCAATGCGCATTATAAAGTCTCGATAACTTTGCACAACGAGCGATCAACATGGCGTTCCAATTTCGTCACGGAATTGAGTTTTAGAACTCGTATCGATACGTATCGATCTGTGTCGAGCAATTGGACAGCGTCCATCGATCTTTCAATTTACTTAGCAGACGTCGGTTCTCAACCTGTATCCCCAGGGCGAAAAAAAAAAAGAAAAAAAATCGGGAATCAATAATTGATAACAAAATGAAATTACATCTTTGAATCTACTTCAGATCTTGATACATATTTTCTCTACATATACAAAATGTGACGAACGATTTTTTTTATTTATACTTACAATATACTTTTATTGCGATATTTAATTAGAAAGAATAGGAATATCCTGTATATCGAATTCTTATTTACAATTATTGTCGTAGCATTTGTGCACACTTTGAATCTAATATTATTAGTGAAAAAAAGACACAACCGTATTATCCTTACAATAAATTCATTTACGTAACGTCAGCAAACGTCAGTAAATTTTGCAGTCTGATTATTCCATTTAACGTGAAAGTGTCAAATTATAGACAATTACAAAATGGTCTTGTAATTTGTCAATGTCAATCGATATCGAAATGATATCAACAATTTGATAGTTATACGTTCTATCTGCTGCTGGAACGAGTTTCCTTGGCTTTTAAATTTCGAAACGACCGTTACTACACGTACACACGATGAACGGACGTAAACTGCTTCTAAGATGGCGGGCTCTCGCGAACGTCGGTCAAATTAATCCCCTATTAATTCAATGTAGATTCCATGGAACGCAATACCGACGCTTAAACATAAATCCACGAAGCTTAACAAGAAATTCATGGTCAACCAGGAGTGTCCCACTTTCCGGCAATGTTCAGTGCACATGTCGATGTCTTATCTGGCAAATGTGTGGGCGTGCAAGCATAGCACCGAACATTCCTCGTACGTACAACAACGCGTAGCGCGTTGCACTTCGCTGGACAAAGATGCAAAATCATTGCGCACAATGCCGTGTAAGGATCCTAAAAGATGCTGATAAAACGAGATGAAAACAATATAAGCCTACTCAGTTGCCTGCTTGTTTGGAGAGAACGGTGAGAACATGGTAATTTCAAATCAACAATATTGCGATAACCATTATCAACACTATAATGATGTATTAATTACCCTAGATAAGATATTCGAAATAGGAAATAAGAACTTTTTTCAATTGACGTAAAGAAGCAATTACCAGATAGGTTATCTTATTTTTGTTCTTTTTCTTCTGCAATTTTACAGGGAAAACAGAACTTTACATACCACATATGTAATAAATATATAAGTATGTTGGTAAGTATGCTATAATATGTATTATAATTATATAATTGTACATTATATAATATAGTAATATATGATATAAATAAAACATACTTTTAATATAGAATAGAATAGAAAAATGTGAATTATTTTGTAGTCGCCATCTTTCGGTATTTTTAGATATTACGAGAGACTGTGTCCCTGACTGTCAATACATTTGGATAACACAACGCTGGTACATTTAGCAACATGAGCAAACACTTTCTACTAATTGCCTTGGAATGTTTCACTTCGAAAATTGTATGAACACATCGATCCCTTATCTGTCGAAGGTATAGGCATACGAACTTGATACGAGAAATTCCCAGTATCGCATGTATAACATATTATTTGAACAAATGACAGTAATATAGGTGAATGTTTGCTTCGGAACGTATTACGTGCTTTTACCGGTCGGTATCTACTTTATTACAGTGTTTATCAATGTTGATATAACAAGCAAATTTCTTTCTTATTTTAATTAGAATGAAAAGACAGCGTTCAACATTTCTAAAAATTATTTCCTTCTTAGAGAGAAGATTTACTTTCAGTGTGCATTATCAAAAAGAAATTAGGATAACTCAAGATGATTTATCTTTGATGGTTAGTAACGTGAAGCAGCTGCGATCCTCGCCAAATTTCTCTAAATAGAACAATTTTCGACGCGATCGTAAATTTACAGTGTCAATGTTTTAATTATTATCGGTTATGTTGGCAACCAAAAGTTTCCATTTTACTGTTAAACTGTTCGTGTTGAACTTACTTATAGCTGGCGTGACACGGCGTTTCCACAGGATCGAACAGACGATACTCCTAAACGAAGTTTCACGCGGATCCTGGAACCACTTAATGGAAACGATGCAAATACACAATCACCAGATCACGGTCCGGTAACTTCGCGAAGTCCGCGAACGGCTCCGATGCCATTCGTGCAACGGGAGCTAATGGTTGCGAGATGATACCCGTAACGATCGTTAAGGACAAACTTAATAATAGTAGCCGGATATTTACTATAGATCGTGAGTCGTCTAATTGGCCGGTCGGAGACGAATTCATGACTGGCGGCCACTTTGTGAATATATCGCGAGCACCGTGCCAAAATCGTCGCACGAAACATAGATTCGCTACCTATGAAAGGTGCGCTATACATTGTAGAGAGCCGTAACATACACAATGTAAGTGTCTTTGTATACGTACAACTTTGTACAATAGTGCCTTGCTAATTGGCCGTGAATCAAAATCTTATCTAATCAATCAATGAAAAGCGTATCTACTTCTAGAGAATTCCCAGTATCTTCTTTCCACATTAACAATGAATTAAAGATGGACTTGATACTTTTGTTCATTTTACATAGTGATTCATGACAGTATCTGAGCAGTTTCTGTGAACATATTATACAATGTAGTAATTAAAAAAAATATATATTTGTATTACATATTAATGTGTTATTCAAAATTTTTGAAATTTCATGAGCACTATCAGAGATATTTCACATATTTGTATGAATTTCACAAAGTCAGCCTTTTTTAAAAAGTGGTGAGGATAGAGATAGTCGGTTAGCAAAGCAACAATCCTGACCAGTTAACGTGGCACTATTGTACACGACTGCGTGGGTGCAACCTGTGCATGCACGAAAGAGTTACCGCTCGCGTGGAACTGTTCTTGTCGTGCTTCTTAATCGACAATTAAGATTATGCAATCTTTGAGATAATTTATTGTTTTAAATTTATCTAATTGAAGTACTGGCATGAGTAACACCGAAATCACGTGATTAATATTTTATTT